CGGCCGCCGAAACATATCGGTCGAAAATTACACTTTTGGCATAATGACGAAATTGCCATTTTCTAGCCGATACATCAGTACATCCATTCTTTCTCTCCTCTCCAACCGGGTGCTCCAGCGGGGAGGAGAAAAACTGTCACAGGAGGCCGAGCGCTACAGGATGAAAGCGCTGTGAGCGGCCGGCGTCTCTCCTCCCCGCAGCGCTCAGCCTCCTGTGACAGATCAGAGGAGAGCAGTGTGGGCAGCGAGAGCCAGCGCTGTCACAGAAGGCTGAGCTCCACTAGCTTAGCTTCCTGTGACAGCGTGTCAGGAAGGAGAGCGGGTACAATCAGTAAATGATCAGCGATCGCTGAGTGTTTGTAAATAATTGAGGACATAGCATGTTGACTATATCCTCAATTATGAATTAATGGGAAGTGATCTAAATCAGTGGTCCCCAACCCCCAGGCTGCGGACCGGTACCGGGCCGCCCAAGGAACATTAAATTATTTCCATTTTATTTACTGTGGTGTATTTCTCTCGGGTTTGTCCGACTTTCCAGGACGAGAAGTTAACCGGGAGCTGAGAGACGTCACCTAAAGCCGCACCAATACCGCGCATGCGCAAAATATTGTGATATCGGGGCGGTTTTAGGTGACGTCTGGAGCTGAGCGGCTGCAAGCGGCAGTGGCGTTGTAGCTTTGGTAAAGAGAAGGTGTGCATCGCTCTTCTCTCTGTTCACCGGTACTTTCTCATGTTTAACAGTGCTTGGTGTACGTGTATATTGTGTTTGCTCAAATTTAACCCACAAATTAGCAAAAATTAGTACGAAACAGACGTCGTTAGAAAGTTTTCTTGGGAAAAAGAAAAGGCCCAGTGAAGAGACAGAAGAAGGGGCTTCAACATCAAAGAAACATGTAACTTTTAACAGACAATACCATGAGTCCTACTTGAAATATGGATTTATCGGGACAGGTGATTCCAATCTAAAATATAAACAATCAACCTCAGCGGGCCGTGGTAAAATTATCAAACGTTGACCGGTCCACGGTGATAAGGTTGGGGAGCACTGATCTACATCACCTCCTGTTCATTCATGATTGTGGTTATAGTAAACATACCATGTCCTCATGTTCTGAATGGACAGGAACACTCATAGAGGATTCCTGCTTATTGATAACGGGCTGCAGAAAAAGAGATTGAGGACTCTGTGTCCTCAATCTCTTTTTCTATTTTAAAAGGGAAATATCAGGGGTCTGTTTAGACCCCACTAATTTAAAACAATACACTAAATAAATAAAAACTTTACATCCCTTTTTAAAGACAAATGCATTCCTTCCACATGAATCCCAGAACGCCCTCCGTGAATGTATGGCATGAGCTATATGAATGGAGAAGCGGACGGGAAATGGGGGGAGACTGGCACAAAGCTATCACACTGAGAGTTGCTGGTGTTACATAGTATTTGAGGTTGAATAAAGACACATGTCCATCAAGTCCAACCTATTGTGTGTGTGTGTGTATAGGTCCCTGAGTCATCTCGTTATTAGGAGTACTTGTACCCTTGTATATTACCGTTTCTCAGGAAATCGTCCAAAAGCTTCTTGAATGATTCCAGACTATTAGCTGAAATCACTGCTTGTGGCAACGAGTTCCAAACCCTAACCGCTCGAACTGAGAAGAACCCCCTTCGCCCCTTGTGTTTGAATTTTTTTTCTACCAGTTTCAGGTGGTGGCCTCTAGTCTTTGTTACAGAATTAATCGTAAAAAGTTTGTTGCTAATGTCGCTATGACTATAGAACATTTTGTACATGAAAATCATGTCCCCCCCAAAACTGCACCGCATACTCCAGGTGAGGCCGAACCAGTGATGTGTAAAGTGGCAAAATTATAGACTTATCCCTGCAAAACATTCCCTTCTTTATGCAGGATAGGACTCTACTAGCTTTGCTTACCGCAACCTGGCACTGTAATCTATTATTGAGTTTATGGTCTACAATGACCCCCAAATCTTTCTCCATTTCAGACTTCCCTAGCGGCATACCCATTATGCTGACACAGTAAGCTGACCGCTCAGTGTTCGTATACCGCTCTCCATCCTGACTCGCCTATCACAGGACACCGCACTGTGACACTGCTGACTCCTCCCCCACACCCCCGACTCAGCCTCCTGTGACAGCTGTCTCCTCCCTGCACCTCTCTCTATCCTGATTTGCTTGTCACAGGAGGCTGAACAATGAGGTGTGGGAGGAGAACTTGGCTTCCTGTGCTAACGCTGACGGCACTCCCCTCCCCGCTCAGCCTCTTGAAAATGTCTCTCCTCCCCACGGGGCGCTGCTCTGTGTCCCTATTAATCCCAGCGGCCTCTGACGACAGTCGGGGGAAGCATTGGGGATCAGAGGGGACATGGAGCAGCAGGAAATTCACTTTGCAAAGAATACCCAACTCCATGCGAAGAAATTTAAAAAAAAATAAAAAATGTGCTTGTATATAATTGAATGATGGAAGTCAGCAGAGCTTTACCTCATTTACCAAGCTAAGAGGCAATTCCCTTGCAAAGTGAACAGCCCATTTGCCTTTAGTAAATCAGAACCAGTGACTCAGAACGTATTGCAGTCATTGGTTCAGCATGACATCCAGGCAACTATCATTTTAGAAGGAGAGGTTAGCAGTAACAGACTACATATTCTTCTTGACAATTTTCTATGAATAGTCTTGTTAGACAGGATACCCTGTGCTGCTGCTGTTTGTACTTGGTTAGTGGGGCTAGATATTTTTGTGAGCAGCATTTATAAGTGGTAAGACACTGCAGGTATAATCTGCTAAAACTCCACAACCTGCTGAAACTGGAGAGACTCAGAAATGGGACCCTCCAGTATTTCTGCCCTGAGGGTTCACAATATCTTTCAGTTTTAAATCTATTGTAGTAAAATGTTTTCCACCTAATATAATGGCCATATGTCAGTGCTTTGCTGGCATGCTCTCCCTGGGTGACATTTTGTAAAATGTTAGGATATTGCGCACACCACTTCTGCTGTTACAACTGGTCCGTGCACTTTCCTTGCTTTATTGTAGTAGCATTATGTCATATTAAAGTATGTTACCAGGAGCCCAGATAAGTGGCTTTTCTTCTGAGTTTGACATTTGCTTGCTGCTCTTGCTGATCTTAAACAGATGGAGACTAGGAAAGTGTTTGCCCTGCAGAAGAATTTCAATTCTCTGGCCTCAGATGGTAGTGATAAAAACCAGAGTACATTTGTGTTTACAGCCCTGAAAGCTCAGACATTTTTTTTTCCTTGCAGTTTTAACAGGGATTAGCACTCTATTCCATCTGAATCATGTTCCAGAGGTCTGTGAGAGAACTGCTGTCATAAAGGCATGTTCAAATACCTTAATAGTCTATCTTCCAGCTCTATGTGCTGTATTTATGCTGGACGAAGCACATATTATTTTAGTGTTCTGTAGCATAAATATCATGAACAATAATTTGCATCTCTCCCTGTAGCAGTTTTATCTGTTCGTTGTGACGCAAAAATTTTTACCAGCGTATAGGAAGTATTCAACCCCACAACATGGCTAACACACATGCATGTTGTTGTATGTAATGGCCCTTTTTCCATTACCATTTTCAACACATTTTTAGTTTTTTGTACATGCGTGCCTGTCTACATACACATGCATTCCTTGCCAGATGGCAGGGTTGGTTTTAATATTTACATTTTTTTATTATTATTAATTATTTTTTAACTTTTTATTTTATTTTATTTTACTTTTATCTCCCCCCCCCCCGCACTGAATTTAAGCCCCTATGTGCCAGATTTTGGAGGGGC